TCCGCGCTACTTGGCGGGGGATTTCTCACGCGGGGGTGTCATTACGCAAGGCAGAGGCTCGGCTGATAAAAGCGCAGCAAGTGATTTATGGGCTGTAGGAGTATGTTATTAGCAAATATATAAATATATAAACACACACAAACGCGTTATTAGCACATCAGAAACAAGTTAGAGGTAAGGTTTAGACTCACTTGGCTCTTACCAGGTTTGAAAAGCTGACCTGACACTCATACGCACCCATCACTCAATCTGTAAAATCTATTTGGAAATACGACGTTTGTAGAAAACATACAGGTACGCTTGGACAGGGTAGGGGCACTCCTTAGAAATCTGTTCCTCCCCGACGCGCTCACAAGTCACATCTCCTTGTTCGTACGTCTCGGGTGAGTCTCAGTATTCTGACCCGCGCTGTGCAGACGGGAAAACGGAGGCGTGGAGAAAAACGTTCACTAGGCAGGTTGGTTAGAGAGCCAAAAGCACTTACAGCCTCAGCGGGACACGCGACCCACCGGATCTGCTCTCTGCCATCTGAGTTTTTGCTATCAACACTTGCATTTCTCTCCTGAGAAGAAAACCACCATGAAGCACCACTGCAGCAGAACCGAGCGAGCCCATTAAGAGAGATACTGCAAGACCTCAGCTGTAGCGTACATGCACAGTGGCTGAGTTCTAGGTGCAGGGCAGGCCTCAAAACTATCCCAAATCTTTCCACCAATGCTTTTCCACAGTCGCAGGCTGCTCCGGCGTCGATTTGCCATTGCCTCATCCCACTGTGACCCGGCCTAACTAAGCAGTTTCTGAGATCTACTTATTTCCACGCCGCAGGGGTACAAGCGGTACAAGACCACGCACAAACAGCTGTGCGGCCAGCAGGCAAAGCCCGCGCTGAGCCCGGGCTGCGGCAGCGAGGGCGGGAGCGTGGCTGGGTGCACAGCCCTTGCCGAGCTGCCCCGGTTCACGTTCTGCCACGGCCCGAGGCTGGCGGGACACAGGGTTTAAGGTTTTCTGTCAGAAGGCACCAGGATGGGGCTGTTCCGTAGCCGCACTTCTACAAACAAACCAGAGCAATACCGCAGGTCCTCAGGTATAATCCCCAGATGATCTTTTACTGTCCAAAAACTCCCTAGACTGGTCAGAGGCCAATGAACTGCACTGGCACTAACCCAGTGGTCTTGCAGAGAGGTTCCTGCCTACAGAAACGAGCTGCGGCTCCTGGATCACAGCAGCTCAGGTGGAAAAATCGCAGGCTGTGTGCACAGCACTGTGCTGCTGGTGAGTTCTGAGCAGCACGGTAGGCCTGGGTCTGTGCACAGGAACTTAAAAGTAGTTTAATATAAAAATAGAGCTTTGAGAATACCAAAATGACACAACAAGGCTCGTGGCTCTGAAATATCTAACACATTTAAGAACTGCATTTTTCGGGAAATATTTCAGTTAGACAACTTCCGGAAAACTATTTTTCAGAGCCTGAAATAATTCACATACGCGCAGCAGCAACACAGGAGAAAGAGGGGAAGGTTTTCTAGTCTGCACTGAAGTCTGCAAGATTGTCATGCCAGTGTATTACAGTTCAGTTTGCACAGTACAGTTCTCTCTTAGCAAAAGCACAGTTGCAGCAGCGTATTTTCATCTTTAGGCCAAAGATTCATACAAAATTATTATTCTCAAGTAAGTCTCAAAAACTGAAGAGTGGATTCTGGAGTGTGACTGAACTGCGTCTAATTCTGCATCTGCAGAATGCCACATCCACAAAGCATCACTAAAAAAGGAGATTTCAGTGGAAATTCTTGCATGTTGTATGTGTTCTAGTCTGTTCATCATTTTTGGCTGACTCGGTATCTCGGATCACTTAAAAATCCATTTGAACATTCTTAGTATTTTTCAAGATACAATTTATAATCTCATCTCTGTTCTCTTGCCTTTCTGCAAGTGGTTTTATCTCAAAATGGCTACTGAATATTGAAAAGCACCTAGAATGATGTAATTTCAAGTTCCAATAGCATACTGTTTTCAAACTATTTGCAACTCTCCTCTTCAGTATATGCTTGCTATTCATATTGTTTATACCTATTCAGCAAATGAGTTACAAGATTTATTCATTCTTGGCTCTGGTGTCTCAGTACTAAAACGATGCAATCCTCGGAGATGCTGGTACCTGTAGCTCAGCACATCTTTCTTGCAGGGTACCTTAAGAAAGGTATTGTGTATATCTGCAATGGACACTCCAATGTCAGTTTTCAAGCGCCGATTTCCTTGGCACAAAATTTTCGCTTCGGAGGAGCTTTAATTCTCTCAGTTCTTGTGGCTGTAAACTCTGGTCCACACCAGGAGTTAGCTTGTAGTTTAAAGGAGATTCAATATAACCGTTTCTGTACAGACAGACCCGCTTGCAGAACTCAAAGGTGCTAAACATCACACCGAAGTATGGGACAATCTGATAAAATAAAAAAAAAAGGCAACGTAAGACAAAAAAGCAAAATTAGACTCACTAGTAGCATTATTAGCTTAGATGTTTTAAAAAAGGCAACTTCTAGGACTTCAAATTCTGATCTGATCTGCTAATAGAGCTGTGCTTGTTTATATAAAATCAGAGTCTCACCTCCAACTAGGCTGGCACCTGCAGCATTGCTACAAGTAGGAGTTTATTATTGGCACATAGCTAATTATAACAATACTGTAAGGAACAAGGTCTGTGGCTAGCTTGTATCACAACTTGCCAAATATCTAAGAAAATCCTAAGCAACCTCAGCAAATCCTGGCAGGAAATGTGGGATTTATTCTGTGTAGAGCAGGGTGACTGAACAATTTTCTTCTTTTGCCCCATGCAGAATCAGCAGCTCTGGTGCCACGTGGCTTTACACCAGCCAAGGTAGGGCCAGGCACAGCCAGGCCATCACAATCAATCACGCTGTCACTCAATTACCGCTCATTAGCCGACCTGTAGTACTCCATGTAGGCAATCCTCACCACAGCACTATAAAATGTATTTATGTAAACTAAATTACCTTCTCTTTAAGCTACCGTGCTCTATTTCATGCTTTCAGCTCGGCAAGGGCTGTAGTAACTGCTATGCATGCATTAAATAGCTGGGCAAAAGTACTGCTTTTGACTTCTGGGGGAGTGGCTTATACAGGTACAATTTTCTTTCCAGCTTGGTACAACATGTCAAGCTACTGGAGCTCAGCTGAGCAGCAGAACTTGTTCAGCTGCCATAAGTGGAGCGCTTGCAATCCCCCAGCCATACCCTGGCTCGTGTGTTAGCAGCACTCCTTCGCTAAGGACGCTCAGATAAACTCGAAAGTAGTGACACCTCGAAGCCAAGCTTCCGTTTGGGGAAATACGACCAAACCAAGTTCCAAAGCTGGCTTATAACCTGCCTGAGGTTATACCTGTTCTGTCACAGACTCCGTCATCTACAAGCTGCTACTAAGTACGGAGGCATGTCATAACCTTTACAACCCCAGCTGACCAAAAGCATGCCTTGATTTCTTCAGGATGGTCTTTGAGCGGGATAAAAGCAAAACCTCACCTTGAGCAGGCTGGGTGTGAGCCCACTCCACAGTCCGAGCACACCTTTGCTCTTCACAGTTTGCCGGAAACAGTCAGCCATGCCCGTGAAATGGACATCAACTGCTCCGTAGTGGGGAAGCCAAGGACTCTGCGCCTGTTCAAGAGACACCCGGGGAGGATTTAGAATGAGCAAAGGAAAAATAAAGTAATTAAAGATAATTATTTTCTCTATTCTGGTACATAAGGAACACTTAATGCCAGCTTTCAACTGATCTGGATTCTTCCACCAACCCAAAAGAATCAGCTATTTTTCCTTGAAATACAAATTAAAAGGGAGGGAATTCACACTCTGATAGGGCAAGACAGCAGTAATTTCACATAGCATTTCCTTTTGTGCCATGTCACTGCTAGAAATAAATCCCACCCTTGCGAGGACACCGAACCAGAGGCGCGCAACGTGTGAGGCATTTCACCCCACCGGCAGCGGAGCACCCACAGAGCGAAGCTCGGGGCCGGCCCCAGACACCACGCTGCCCTCCGGTCATTCTGATCAAAAGGAAGAGCACGCTGGCTTCGCTCTGGCTGCCGAGGCGGTGTCCACGCTGCCGTGAGAAGGGCGAACCATACTATGGGTTGAGCGGCAACAGCACAGCAGAAACGGGAGAACAGAGATTTCAGCCCAGGTTTACAAGCCCACCAAGGGCTGGAGGTGAGCAGTCGGAGCCTGTGCACCTGTATCTTTGCTGCATGGTCAGTTGATCCATACCAATTAAAGTTAGCTTGGGAGGATCCTGCTGGACTGCAGCTACATTTCCAACTGCCATATAGACAGCGTCTGTTCACATGGAAGAAGCGTAGTGGGTCATTTTTAACAGCAAAATCCTTCCTTCATTAATCTCCTACTGTGTTAGCACGGACAGGATAACCTGACCTTGAATAATCCCATCCTCATCCATCTGTGTACATGCAGCCATGGGTTTATTTTGCATTGGGAAATCAGAGTTTCACTCAAACACGTGGCAAGCAACATTCCTCAGTCAGGAGTGTGTGGGGACCGAAGGACGCAGGCTGACGACTTGCACGCGCAAGCTGATCACCCCAGGGCAGAAGTCTGATAAAACTGGGACTTGTACAGTGAACAGATTGGTGAATAGGGATATCACAGTCCCCTCATTGATCTGAAACACCTCGTGGTGCAGCATTTTCTCCCTCCTTGGCCAGACTAACCTACAGCTTCTCAGAGCTGCTAAGCCTATGACAAGCCTCTCATAAACCAACAAGTGGTGATGACATTTTCTAGATGCCTCAGCTATAGCGTTTCAAATACTTGGCAACTCAGCTGCTGGAAATGGAAACAGATCAAAACTCATGCTCCAGGTGTATAAGAGAAGTTACTAATCAAATAGTTTTAATGCTGCTGCATCCCCCTGCATTACTGGCAAGCCTACTGCTAAAATTTAGAAGCTAACAAAAAACCCCTAATCACCACACACACTAACTGCATAGTCTTCTTTATCTACAATAAAACACAGGTCATTATCTTTTTCTCACTTCTTTTGTGCATGATTGAAATGCATGTGAAATACGTCTGTCGGCAGGTAACTGGTAAAACCATACAGTTTCCTTTTGACAGGGCTTTGGGAGGTGATGCTGGGAAAGCAGCTGTCTGCACTGAGAAAGTAGGCAATAGGCTTCCACCACATCCTGGTTTGTTATCTTCTGGATCCCCTTTATCATGTCCTGGCTCTTACCGCAGGCAAGAGTAGGGCTGAGGATTTAATCTGTGGTCTTTCACGCTTTAAGGAGGAGAGAACAGAAGCGTTTGCTTCTCTCTGAACTTCCTCAGCAGTGTACCTGATTTGTAAGAGAGGGATCAAATCCGTGGGGGAGACAGTATTTCAACCGTTCTAATCACTCGTCCCCTTTGTGCCTACACTGGCCTTGCTAACTCCATGGGGCCACAGCTGTTTCCGTAATTCCTAACTCTGGTGCAAGCTCCCGCAGCTTTCTGTTATAGGACTCAGAGAGGCAGGCGTCGGGGGATTTCACTGCTGTGATTTCACAGTATTACCAGCCCTGCCTTTGGAGGTAGTCCAAGGTAACGGAGGTAGTCCAAGGTAACGGAGCTAGGCTGGTAGCCAAGGGTCATGCACATACTCACACTCATTTGCCACAAGGAAGCTCAGCTGTCTGCTTGGCTGTGTTACTTAAGGGATGTAAGGGTTTAAAAAGCAATAGCTAAATCCAACACTGAGAAAGAGAGAAATAACTTTTCAAGCCTTAATACATAGTACTTGAGAAACTCCTGCACAAAGACTCTCATGACTGTACTGTAGAAGATGCTGAGTGCTGCAACTTCAGGGACCAGTTCCACTAAGATTGGTGATACTAGCGCCAGGGATGCTTAGAAGAAATTATAGAAGTAGCCTTAAAAATGCAACAGCAGTCATAGGAGACCTGGATTCAAACCCCTGTTCTGCCTTCTGGACTGGCAGGCAGTTTCCACTAACTTTTTTGGTAAAGGAAGTTACAGGCAACCAAGGAGTGAAGAGGTTTTCAAACGCTTCAGGAAAGCAGGAATACTGTTCACATGCGATTCCCTTCCTTCTTAAGTCCCTTTATGGTAGGTAGGCAGGGCATGACCTGTCAGAATTCACTGCATCAGTCTGACTTAATCCCCTTCATTACCATGTACATTGCAAAGGCCGACACCAAACGGTTTCGATTACAGAACTCCTGCCTACAACACCAAGACAAGCGACAAGCACACCGCAGGTTTCACTAAGATTCTGCACACAGTAAACGCATCCAGGCGACAGTTAAAAAGGAGCACGTAAGTCAAAACCCCAGATTTCTAATTTGCCCGCAGATGCTGACCTCTTAAGAGATTTACTGCAAGATGATTTACAGTAACATTCACCACGGTTACAGCCATTCTCAAGATTTTGGCCTGTGGGGTAAAGTATGCTTTGCCAGTCTTTCTGCTTTACAGGAGCAGCATCTTTCTAGGACCCTACACACAGTATTTAAATAAGAATTTTCCACAGAATCTCAGAATCACCTACTGCAAAAGGAAAACTAAAAAATGTATCGGTGTGTAGTTAAAACTTCAGTCTTTTGGAACACAGCTAAACAAAGTTAAGATGCATTAATAAAAGAAAAAAAATGAAGAAAGTGTTTCATTTGGCACTGTTTTTAATGAAAAAACCAGATGTGGGTTTTGGGTGGTTCTGCATCATCTAAGCGTGTCTACAGCACTGCAATCCTCGCAACGGCCCTGTGGCACCAGAGAAAATGGAAGTAACCAAACAGATCAAACTAGTTTCTCTACCTTTTTTAGAGAAACCTACTATGACATACAAATCAAACAGCTAATCTCACACCAAAAAGATCAGGTTGACAACAGGAGACGTTTCACGCCACCTGAAAGCAGCTTCCATTCCTTTCTTTTGACACCCCTTGAACTACGGGCTGCTGCGTGGGCACCTGTTTGTTACGACTGACATTAAAGCCTGCCTTCCCCCCAGTTACGGCTGTCTCACCCTGCGGAAGGCTGGAGATACAGCACAGCTCACTGTGCTGAGAACAGAGTGCCAAGCCGTTAGTCACAGCAGTAGTGGGGCTAAGTTGCTAATCTTTTTACTTCTGATGGACGATGGGTCCTCTAAACGATTAAAGCACATCAAATGCAGGATTGGCTCCATCGGCTCTCCCACAGACACAGTCTTCTAGTATCCAGAGGCCACCAAGTCTACTAAGTCACTGTGATGCATCCTCAAAGTTAGCACTGTATTTTGACAATCTAAACCCAAGAGAGACACGCATTAAAACCCCCCACCAACTACCTGTACTCACTTTTTTATATAAACAAAATATTCAAACAAGGGTGAAGTGTCGTGACAAAACTGGCGTTAATTATTGAAGTTCATTGTTACCTGAAGACACTTCAGACACCATCTCTCCTGCATCTCATCTGCATCACGAGGTGACTGCCAGAACAACGCAGCCCCATTTTGGGAACTAATCTCACAGACCTTGTAAAGATTTCCCCTTCGACAAGCTCCCCCAGCCCCTCTCCTCCTCCTCCTCTCTTAATCTTAGGACCGAAGGATGGCTGCAGTTCACTGCAGCGCAGTGGGGACCGTGCCCATCAACAGATCAACCGCTCCCATCTCCCCCAGCAGCCGCGCAGGGACCACGCAGAGCCCACCGGCTCCGGACGCGGCACGTGCAGGGTCGGCCACTTCAGCCAGAGCTCTGCAGATACAAAACTCCCACTTGCACTGTCGGATGTTTTGGCTTGCAACTATTCGAATTCACATGTATCAGAGGCTATCTGGAAATACTTCCCTCTCGATTCGTGTACTTTTTTTCCCCCCTTTCCCTGTTTATAAAAGTTTGTTGGTACAAAGATTTGCTATTTATTTATTTTTTGAGTATGCAGTACTGTTGGCACAGAGCATGAAAGATCAACTAATGGTGAACAGCTGCCATAGGTGGTACGCTACCCTAACGGTAGACAGAGTAAAAATCCTTGTTATTTCTGTATTTTCAACAGGTTCAGGTGTCCTACACTTCTGATCAATTTTAGAAAACATGAAGCACAGGAATGCACTGTACAACACAGCTCAAGGGTTCACGCTCTTAATCTGGAAGCTAAAATAAGAAGTCTTTGCAGTCTGGGTTAATAAGGACACATGCAACGGGCAAGCGCGACTGTCGTTCAAAGGAAACTGAAGGACAAAGATTGCAGTTTCCGTTCAAGCTAATGCCACTACAGTTAACAGGAATTTCACTCAAAAGAAGGCTGAATGCTTGAAAGAGTATTTCATTCCACTCAAGTAAGAAAGAATTAAAATGTAAATAAGTATCAATATCGGGGGGAAAAAAGTATGCATTCTCTTGGGCTAATCAATCCTTTCTCCTGGAGGAGAGCTTTGCTCCGGAGTCACTGTCTTTTCTGTGTCAGTGGTTTGGTCATGCTGATTTACCCCTGGCCAAAGTCCACTAAAGGCATTCAGGCAGGTTGGGAGGTAAATGACAACAAGCTGTCCGGAGGCAGCGGGTTCCAGGGCAGCTGACCTCCAGCTCCTGCAGTCTAGGAACATGTTGTGCTTTCCTCCGCAACCTGAACTGGGGCCAAACCAGCTCGCC